GCTGGATCCTCCTAGGTAAAAAAGTTCTACCTGGGTTAAGCTACTTAAAATATCCGAGCAAAGAGTACTTCGACCTGGATCTATGAGTTGGATCCCCCTAGGTTAAAAGGTTCTACCTGGGTTAAGCTACGAAAATGATCTGTATGAATAATAGTGATACATGCTGAAAATAAAAGAAAATGGAGATTTTGCGGAAACTTACCTTTGGTGACATTCATCCTTTAAGTATCGTCATTCTGCATTGATTTGTTCCTGATTCAAAACAAAGATAAATTATGAGTTTTAAAAGTGGTGGTCGATTTGTGGCCTTGATGTCTTTGGAAGCTTGTCTTTGTGCCCATTCAACTTGCTTTTGACAAGTAGGCGAACATGAGTATTTTTGGTAGGAACCTTTGTATTACACGAATCCTCAAGTTATGTCGATTATAACAACTGAGTGCATGTTGCTCCCTGGACCGTGGTATCTTGAACGTTCTAGCCAGAATTTTCTTTGTGCAACTGAAAAGCTGGTAGCAGATTTTGAAAATCCTTTCTTGCTTGTTTTGATGAGAACTGACTCAAAAGCAAAAAGACAAAGTTATGCACAAATAGAAGGAAGAAATGTTTAATAAGAGATGTAACTTTTATGGGAAAGGAAGGAAAGAAGGGGCTTATGTGAGTGTGGTAGCAAGCCTTAGTGATCATGACATGCATTTTTGACATAACGACCTCATCTTTCAAACCAATCTAACCTTTGCTCTTGTCATTCCTTCGAGCTTTGAAACCGAGCATCTTTGTGCCAATTATTTTTCATTAGACTCATGACTCACCTTCGACTAATGGTGCCCCAAGGGATTTTCACCAACAAGCCTCTTTCATTTATTTATCATAACTTCCCGTCGCCTTAAAGTGCCCATGAAGGTTTTCACTAGTAAGGCTCTCTCTCTTCTTTTCTTTTTTCTTTTTTTTCTTTTCTTTTTCCTCTTTTTTCTTTTCTTTTTATTTTTTTTATTTTTGTGTGAGCAACTTGATAGTGTTCTATGTCGTGTGACAATTGTTGCTCATTGCATGCTTCTATTGGCATTCTTGATGGTTTATTAGGAGGTCTTTATTTAGAAGGCTTTTGGATAAGGTAAGGAAGAAATGATGGTATGAAGGCTCAAAATAGACTCAATATGATGGGTTTGTAAACTTACAACTCTTGAAATCGACTCTTTTAACGAAAACTAAAACAAACTCATGCCCCAGTTTTAGATAATGGATTTTTTTTGGTTGGAGTGAACCCTAGTATAGAGCTGCATACGTATCCTTTAAAGGAATCAAGTGAAACGTAGTTCAAAACATCTGATCTAACTATTTCTTTTTTCATCTTTCTTTCTTTTTCTTTTTCTTTTTCTTTTTTTTATTTTTTTTTTTGCAAAATTCCCCAGCTCTTATGTTTAGGGGCATGGACTTTAGACTATTTGTTTTTTGGATTTTTGACTCTAGACTTGATTCCAAGAGAGGGGGTCAAAGATTATAACATAGGCTCAAAAGGGGTAACAAGTGGTATAAAGTGTTTGGGTAGCATAAAAAAGGGCCTCCTAGCCCCGAGAACGCCAAACATATTATCTTTTCATAATCATGACAATGATAAACATGTTGTCTTCTAGGTCTTGTCTAGCGTAAAGCTGTATGAGCAATAATTTTCTCGCATGGAATGACCCTAGTCAATTTGGGTGACCTTTCTTTCTTGATATGGAAGTGTGCATTTCAATAATGATTGATTCGTTTCAAATTATATGTATTGCACTTTATTTTGAAAAAAACTTTCTATCTTTTAGTGCTAAACAGACTTCAACCCATCCGATCATCCTTAAGACCGATCTTCACAACAATTCATAGGTAGAGATCCTTAACCTCCATTGGTATGACTGCTTTGGTTCCATGTATACCTTGCTTATGCTTATTCTCAAATTGTTTCAACTCTTTATTCATCTTCAAATGTGTCTCTTTCTTTTAGTTATCAAATTCAAGAGTAGATCAATTTTCTAAAATCTGGCCAAAACTTCCGCATGCATATCATGTCACTAGAACTTGCAAGAAAAGAACTATGCACAAAATGGACACAACATGACTGATTGTATTTTATTGAATAAAGAATAGAAGGGTATGATAACATAAAAAGAAGAAGAAAAGATGACAAAATAAGGTACCATGACTCCTCCCCGGCTGAAAAAGGAGTGACTTTTAAGTTACTAAGCGACATCATATCCAGGGACTTGCACATCAACATTACTATGGCATTAACTAATTTTGATTGCTTTGGAATCAGCATTTAAATTTTAACTTTTTGATCAAACAGTTCCCAATATTGGCTATCAAATTTCAGGACTGACGGCATGGGAAATTTCATAGCAATAGATTTGCTAAAAGACTTGGAAGAATTCATCTCCCTATCATCACATATCGTTGCACACAAAGTATGTCCTATGGCTCCAACCTGGTAAAAGTACCAACATTTGCCTCTTCTTTTCACCATCAAACTGTGTACTTGCCTTTTCGTAATCTTAGTCGAATCAACAATAACGGTGCTTATTCCCTTGGTTGAGAAGATAATAGAGTGATCTTGGATTGTTTTCGTGATTCACCATTGAAAACCAACAAACCGACAACTTTTAACTAGCTTTTATTCCAAAATAAAAAGCATGTTAGAATAAACATTCTTCTTCTTTTTTTTTCTCTTTTTTTTTTCAAAATCATTCGATCGAACCTGATGTGGGTTGCCTACGTATCATGTGGGAACATTAATCAGATCTTGCATAGTTCAGGCCTTCAGGGAGATTAGGAATAAAGTAAATAAACTAAACTCTTTTTTTGTTTGGATTTTGAATTTTATTTTTAATTTCAGAAAGAAAGACTTATAAAAAAAATATTTTTGGATTTCAATTTTTTTATGAGAATTTTTTAAAAGAAAGGCTTCTAAAGAATAAAGAGAATACTTTTTTTTGAATTTTTATTTTTATTTTATTTTTATTTTTTCGGAGAAAGACTTCTAAAGAAGAATAAAAAATATATTTTTGGATTTTGAGTTGATTTTCTTTTTTGAATGAAGGACTTCTAAAAAGAAAGAAAATATTTTTGGTTTTAATTTTTTTATTTGGGATTTTCTAAAAAAAGACTTCTAAAGAAAGAATTAAAGGAAAATATTTTTGGATTTTTGAAAATTGAGGGCCAGAACCGATGAGGTCTGCCTACGTATTTCACATTCGGTGAGAATCAGACCCGCGTACTTCGGTAGAAATCGACTATGTTCTCTTTTGATTTATAAAAATTAATCCTTATAACCGTAGAACTAGACCACATCGTCCTCTTATTTATTTTTTCTTTTAACAGACATATGTACAAAAATCGGAGAATTTCTCTCTTGTTTATTCAACTGATTTATCCTAAAGTCGGTCAACATGCAAGCCTCCCAATTAATGCAACAGATAGCACATAACCTGAACATATTGGTCTCAACAAGGAACCTATCCTAAAACATAACCCAACCCCATGTGTCGAGAGCTGCTAAGCTAAATGCACATGATGCAAAAATCAAACCTACTACGAATATCCGGCACGAGGTTTGTTCTTCTAGGTTTAAATCCTGGTGGAGAAGGTGTCTAGACCTGGCTTACTCGGTCGGAAAACCAAGCCGAGGAGCGTCAGTGTGCCTGCCGTAAAACTGTTCCGGCTTTACTGGTGGTTCTCCCTGCCTAAACATGTGTGATTAAATCCTTCACCAGGAGCAGGTCTATAAACTGACTTTATCTCAGAAAGAAAATTTTTGTAGAGCTGGTCAGCACACACAACACTATTACTTATCAGAAGACTCAGATGGGGTGCGACAGAAGACAATTTATATATACAGTTCAAACAATATCAAAGCAGTAAATGAGCAAAAATTAGCACATTAGGCTCACATACACAGTAATATATCAAAAAATAATAAAAGCCAAAAATTAATCAATGTTCGAGCTCGAATTCTGATAAGTCCCCAGCGGAGTCGCCAGAGCTGTCACACCCATTTTCTACCCCCAAAAGATAATGTATGTTATGAACTATTGTGGGTTAAAGAGTTTTTACAATTAAAGTGACAAACTTGAGTAGGGATTATCTTATTTACAGAGTCGTCACTTGGAATTGAGTTTTTGGGTGTTCCAAGTCACCTTTTATTTGAATTCCTAGTCAAAGGAAGGTTTGACTCTATTATTATTGGTCTGCGAAAATAAGGTCCGGGTAAGGAATTCTATTGACCGGGGAGAAGGTGTAAGGCATTCCCCGAGTCTTGTGGTTCTAGCACGGTCGCTTTTATTGACTAAAATTGGCTTGAATTAATTTTTGGATAACTTGTGCTTTATTTGATTTTTCATGCTTGTCCTTTGTCCGCTACTCTTTATTAAAAAAATTGAAGAAAAGATTTGAATAATATTAAATTGTCCTAACCGTACCAAGCAAGCGAATGCGCGACCGAGACGAAATTTATTAATTTTTTCATAAAAGTGCTATGCAAGCAAATCCGTAGTCGTGACAAGAATTATTACTACGTTATTATTTTTTTGAAAAAATTAATAGTGTATGACTAAATGAAATGGCTTTGCGGTTATTACGATTACTAATTTAAAAGATGAGACTAGTGCTAGAAAATCATTAACTTATGTTGCTTAAAACTAGAAAGATATGGGCTTGTGATGATATTGAAATAAGACACCCCACTGCTGGGATGATGGAGCCAATGGGCTCATGTCCAAGACAAAATCCAAGAGGCCCATATGCTCTTGGACTTCAAATCTGCAAATATGGGATTTTAGAACCACATTACAGATCTGGTCCTATCTTGCTATTTGCAATCCATAACCAACTATTTACAAAAATAAGTTTACAGAGAGTATCTTTCTATTCATAGCTTAACTACCTTACTAAAATAAACCTTTGCAAAAAATAAGCAAGATTAGTGGGACTCTAAAAATAAAAATTAGCTTGGCAACAACAAAGGGACAAACATAGCTACATGGGTTCAAATTTTAATATATACTCCTTTCATACAACCAAGCAACTGAGGGCCTAGTGGAATTATATCCAACACTTTAGAAAAAAATAAAAATAAAGATGCTTGACACAGTTTAATTATCTAATATATAGTCATAACATTATCCAAAAGCTGCTAATATTTTCTAGCATCATTATCTTTCATTCCAACTCGATTTTAGGAGTTTACATGGTCCGAAAATTACCTGGACAACAGAAAGAAGAACAAATACAGCAAAGTTAACTCTTTCAAAAGTCAAGAAGCGGATAACAAAACAATTAAAGGGGCAGCAACACAGCAAAAGACAATGACAACCAGCACATTTCAAACCCAAGAAAATGAACGAGAAATACCCAGCAAAACAGTTGAAACCAGCAATTATGTAACTCCAGAAGAAGCTTTAAAGACTACTATCTTTTGTAAAAAAATCCTTTTGCACTTAAGAATCAACTCACAGAGACTCACAATTTTTAGCTACTAATGAATGCTTTAGCTGCTGATTCTTCTCTCCTTTTTTTTTTTGTGTGTCCAGATCTCTATTGCTATGAAGACGTATGTTTTATATATGAGAAACAACCAATTATTTCATGATTAAAAATTAATCTTTTTTGACAGATTTTCCACAAAATCTGCACTTAAATTCAAAAGGCAAGACTTTTTTGTTCAATCTTGTCCAAAAGAGAGCATTCTAACTAAAATCTGCTCTTCACTATTTAAAGACAAACTTTTATTCAAAACCTATCCAAAAGTCCATATTTTCTTACCAAACAAATAACTTTTGAGTTTTGTACTCAAAAAATCTCCAAAGCAGTAAATAAGCAACCAAACAAGTACCATATACTGTCAAGTATTCCTTCACGACCTCACTTTTATCAATACAAAACTATTATACTACTTCAACAAGTGCAAAAACATAAAATTTATCATTTCAAACTTCAAAAGCTAATGCTAAAATATTTAATAAGAGACAAAATAAAATCTGAAAAAATAAAAATAAAATAAAAAATCAGCCACGAAAAAAAGAATAGTATTTTTACCATTTCACAATTCAAGTGGCCAAAACAATGGTGGTATGCCGAACGTGGGCATTCGGGGAGGTCGCCAGAATTTGGCAGGATTTTTGGTCGGCGAATTTTCGGGGTGAAATTGACATAAATAGGTAGGTCTTGAGGAGCTCTATCAGTTGATGTAGGTATTGTGGGGTGGTAGTGGCCGGAGCTTCAAGAATTTGGGGGAAAAAAGTGGCGGCTAAAATTTTCTAGATCTAAGATTCAAGGATTTTGAGGGGTTTTTGAAGGATTTGGTTTGGAGCCATGGAAAGAGGAGGTTGTGGAGATTACATGGTGTAAATTTGGAGGTGTTTGGAGATGGTTCGCTGCCGGTGTGCGATTTCTGGTGGCGGCGGAGGGGCAACGGCTAGATAGAGAAGAGAGAGGAAGAAGAAAGGAATTCTGGAGGAAATGGGTGCACAATTTCAGCATTTCTAAGTCTTAAATATCTAATTGGGAGATTGATTGTGGACCATTGGATGAGGGAGAGATGAATGGATGAGATTTAATCTTGATTCACTTAATAAAACGGTGTAGTTTCATCATTAAGCTACGCCGTTTTGGACCAAGTCTTGGCCAGCCATTTTGGACTAGGTATGACCGAATTGGGCACAAAATTTGAGCCAATTTTGGCTTAATTTTAATTAAAATACACTAGCCCAATCCCTTGTCTCTGTAATAAAATTATACAAGCAAAAAAGAAAATCCTTTAGAGATGCAAACTAAAATATACAAATAAAAAGTAAAAATATTTAAGTACTTTTTAATTAAACTCACATAAAAAAAGTGCNTTTTTTTTGAAAAAAACGTGCAAAAATTAGGTATTCACAGTTGGTTCCCACTGAGAGGGAAAGGATTAGAAGGTTCATTGGTGACCTCACCTATGAGTAGCCGAGTGTAGTTTTATGTGATATAGGGCTAAGTGTGGGGTGTTGGGGGTGGGCTTACCTAACACAAAGCTTGTCTTTAATATTCACATGCTATAACCATACCACCCACTCCATGTATCTTGTACTATGTTTGTTGTAGCACTTTGTTAGAATTAGCTAGTGTAGTATATTAGTTGTAGAGATTGGGACCATGTGTTACTTGCTTGCAATAAGGCTAAGTCACTTCGCATGATCAACTGTTTGATTTGTGTGGCATAGTTAGTGCATTATAATTGTGCGGCATGGGGAAGTCTTGAGTACCCATCGCTTTGTGGTGCAACACTTGTGTATATTTAACCAATATTGTGGGTATATTACATAGAGCCTTCGATTTTAAGTGTGGGGTCATCTTTGACTCTCACGATATCCTTCGATGAATTTCTTGACTCATTCTAATATTCGTGATTATTTGTGTTGTAGGTTGATATGGATCGTAATAGTGCGAACACGGGTAAAGGAGTGGGGAAGTCCTCAACCACTGTTCTCACTCCTAAAAAGCGCAAGACAGGGCAAGGGTCATCTCGGCAAGCAAAAGGGAAATAGGTTACTGACGGATCGAAGAAGGCACTATAGGGACCAAGGCCTCATTTGGATCTAGTTTGTGAGGATGCCATACAATGGCATAATAACTTTGTGCCATATGGGCGGTATGTCTCTGCAATGGAAATTAATGTGGAAACTCTAGAATAGAACTTCCCAGACATGCTTGCCCGGTTAAGAGAAATGAAGATGGATAAGTTCCTAGAGTGCCCGAGCCATGCAAATTTGAGCATGGTGCGAGATCTTTATGCAAATTGGAATGGGGATTTGTTCAAGTCACTGATCCGCAGAAAGGAGGTGCCAATGGATAGGCGTTCCTTATACGAATTTTTGGGAGTTGATAGCCCTAACCTGCGCAGGCTGCAAACGTTTGTCAAATGCCCAAGCTAGCAGGCTATACGACACACTCTATGTGGCGTCGATTAAAATGTAAAGTGGACAAGAACTAAGGGTGATTCCTATCTTGAGATGATCCGCTTTGACTTCAACAATACCGCCAAGGTGTGGCAGAATTTCATGCAGGTCAGATTAATGCCGGTTGAACAAAATAGCCAGTGCACTAGAGCTTGAGTGTTTGATATTTTTTCTGATGATTGGGCGACCTATCAATGTGGGTGAGATCATGTTAGGGAAGATGGACCGCACACGATTTGGGCGAAAAATCAAGAAATTCTTCTTTGGCAACTTGCTAACGCAATACATGTTGTCCCGGGAGGTACCTGAATACCGCAGTTATGATGAGGTTGTGGAGGATCCTAAGAGGTTGATGGACATCACATCCTTGTTGTATTCTACGTCTAAGCTAAGCCAGGCGGCATAGAATGAGCGGGACGGGAACTTCAACAGGTATCTTTATAGCTCCCTAAATGTGATCATGAGCAGGTTGGGCGTTTCAGACGAGGAGCGTATGCATCTATGTAATGATCTGTCCAGTTCTTCCAAAGAGATGTTGGGAATTTCCCTTGGCAGTCCTGTTCACCCGTCAGAGGATGAGAACACCCACAAAGGCTCCGATACTAAGGATGATCTTGATGCTGACATCATGGGGCCCTTGGATTTGGTGCCCCTGAGAGCGGATGATGATGATGAGCCCGGAGCTGCTGCTCGTGGGTATTCTGAGGAGGTGAAATCCGACTAGCAGGGAGCTCTTCTTTCCACCTTACTTTGCTTTAAATTCTTACATGCATTCGGGTACTATGCATATGCTAAGTGTGGGGTGGGGGAACTACTTTATGTAATGTAAATTGTATAAATCTATTTTTTTATTTTATTAGTTTTTCTTTTAGAAACCCGTAGTATACATAATCTAGTTCTAAAAAAATTAAATACGAAAATAGAAAAAAAAAACTGAAAAAGCTCGGACGTTTCCCGATGATGGGTCTTTTGGACAATTTTTTTGAGGGATTAAATTCTGATTAAAAACACCAGAAAGATCTCTTTTGAAGGATAGTTAGGTAGTATCCATTGCTTTTTATTTTAGTGTCGGTTCTTTTCCAAGGGTGTAGCTCGAACTGAGTACTTTCTTTTTTTAGGAGTAGGATAGGAAAAAAACTGAGTTGCTCTCAGGTAACTATTAACATGTTCCGTGCTGGCACATTACGTGATGGCATGTGCTCTGTCTTCCCGTACATAAATAAATAGCCTACTTTGTGATGCCTTTTCTCAGTTGTTTGACTTGTATGTCACCTAGTGCAATATTGCTTAAAATTTCTCAATTATATGTGCTTGCTTGACTTGAGAGTTGAACAAAACCGTCTTGATTGAGTCATGTACAATGTGTGTGTAAGGATTTGTGTTATTTTGTGCTATCATGTGTAGTGTAGAACTTTCCTCATATGTTAATCGAAGCAAAATTATTAAGTTGTGCTAGTCTAGGAGATGACGTGGGCAGTTCTTTACTTGATAATAGATGTGCTTGTCACTTAAAATAAAAAAAAATTGTTGCTAGACCCTTTGATCTTATGGACCTTTTTCATGGTACCAACATTACAAGTCGTACCCCTATTTTGTTCTGAATTTGAGATTGTTGAACCTTTACCTCCGAAGACACTTATTCGCTAAAAGAAGTAAGGTGAGAGATTGGGAAGTAGGTTTCGCGTGGAACTGTGGAAGGTCCCTTAAGGTGCACTAAGGTTGTGAAAAACATTTACTAGCTGATGAACCTTAATGTATGGCGTGTGTGTAGAAAGAAAATAGAAAAAGAAAATATTGCAAGAAAAGGAAAACATAATTCAAATAATGTAGAAAAATACACATCTCCTAATCTTAATAATTCGTGCTAGTAGGAATATAGAAATGCTTAATTGAGAAAAAAAAAAGGGCTATGTTGTATATGGTTGAGGCAAGTGGATTGGTTGAGAAGAAGATGTGCTCGATTTTTGAGTGTTGTGTATTAAAGTGCTTAGGAGGGTCAGTCACTATTCCTAAATGTATCCTACCCGTCCCTTAGCCTACATTATAACCCATAAAGTCCTAATTGATCTTAGACTTTGCTGACTTAGATTAGTAAGATGTACACTACAAGCAAGCTTATGGTAAAACCATGGGATGCACATGAATTCTTTGTGAGAGTGTGCACTTTTTGTTCAAATTGTGTGATGTCCTTAAATTATGTTGAAAGTCATACTTGAATGTGTGGACTATTTTATATTCACTCTTATGTTTGTTGGTGAGAGCATATGATCTCATGACGGATTGGTGATGTCGTGAATTTCTCTTGATTGGTGAGTGCGCGAGTTGAGAGTGCTTAGTGGTACCGAGTCAGCTCTTGACGTAGGTTGGTTATGGATAGGTTGTTTGAGTTGGTTGAATTGAATTGTTTATACTTGGGCATATTTAAAATGGGAAGAATATGAAATTTGTAAGTTCATGCTTGATTACCGGTATCGATCACAGTCAAGAGTAGAGTGTATGATTAAAAATTGAAGTGCTCCTCTCTAGTTGAGATGTGTACGTTGTTGGGGTGTAGTTGATAGTCCCATTGCTCAAGGACGAGCAAGAGTCTAAGTGTGAGGTGTTGATATTCGGCTTAAAGTATGTATATTTATATGCATATTGCCTCATATTTTACTCATGTCTCGTAGATTTCGGATGTGTAATGTAATAATTTGTACTAATTTGTAGTATTTTTATGTGTAGGAATCATCCAGAGGCAATTTGGGACGAAGGTGCGTGAATTGAAGCGAAAAAGGGAAGAAAATGGAAAAAGTCACAAAGTAGCGCCACAGGCAGCGTTGGGCGCTACCTATGGCGCATAAGTCAGAATGTTAAAAAGTCTAGCGTTAGGGCTAGCGCTCCACGCTACCCTGGGCGCTGGTGACATGAACATTCTTCTAGTTCGCCCGGCAGAAGACCCCCCTCCCCCCAACGCGTATAAAAGCATGACTAAGCCTATCTTGAGAGAGGAGATGCCATTTGAGGGAAAAATACACACGAGGAACATCCGGGAGCTAGGATATCTCAGTTTTCTTCATCTTTTCTTAGTATTCTCAATTTTTCAACAATTGTAAATTTGTTTTGATATTATTATGAGTGGCTAAAACCTATAGTTCTAGGGCTGTGATTTAGCAATGAATATTGTTGTTTGATGTTGACTTAACCTTGATTACAAATTACTAATGTATAATTGTTTCTTCAATTCTATGATTAATTGCTTAATTATCTGGCCAACAATTAGGTTCTATTTACTATCTATGTTATGCTTGGGAAAGCTATGTCTAGATTAGAGAAGAATTGAAGAGGGCATGATCTTAACTC